CTTAAAGAAATATTTATATGAATTAGACTCGACTTTAAAAGCACCACAACTAGCTAAAATATGTTTGAATAAAATTAAATGTTTACAATTACCATACACCACTTACTTTCTTCTATGTCAGTCTTTCACACTTTTCATTAAAAATGTCTTAATAGGAAAATTTTAGGAAAAATTTTGGAGATTTTTATTGATTAAGATGATTTTTAGTCTTCATTGGATTTAAGTTTTCATTTTAATTTTAATTGAAAAAAGTTCTCTTTTTTAATTTTTTAATACTGAAATGATACAATACTATGCACATATAAAAAAAAAGTCATTTTAGCATCATTTTAATAGGAAAGCCAAAAAAAAAATCATATAAACAAAATCAACATCGTATCATTTAAGTCAACAATAAAGTCATCATATTTAATAGAATCAAGTTAACAGAGTTATCAATTAGATTGAAATTATTAAATCGAGACAATAAGAAAACTCAATTTGCATGAATTATATATATTAAAGGACTAAATCTCAAATATTGGATGAACATATGATTAATTGCATAATTTTACCTTTTAAGAATATGAGCAGTGGCGTAGTCACGTTTAAAAACAGGGGTCAATTGACCCAACTGTATTCTAAAAAACTTAATTTAGCTTAGCTATTTTAGTAAGTTTTTGTGTATTTTATTTATATTGACTCACTAAAATTAATAAAAATTTAAAAAAAGAGTAGAAATTTTTCTTAAAAAATCTTATATAGATATATTATATGATTATAAATTTTTTATACGATATAATTTAATTATTAATAAAAATATTTGATTAAAATATGAAATATAATATATTTTCAATATATTATCACATAGTTTAATCTTTGAATTTTACTTATTTGAAAATATTATTTACTTACTAATGAAATCTTGTTTTAATTAATAAAGATGTCAAATTTACTCATATTTCGTACCCCAATTTTTTAATGGAAATAGATATTAAATTTTAGGATAAGCATGGATATAATTTTAAATTTTTTATCGTATACAAGGACGAAGATTGATAATATAGCACTCATCTCATACCCATATCCATGCCCTATATATATATTTAGTAAATCGATTTTTCATTAAACAATATAAAATTTTATTTTAGATTAATTAGAATTAATATATTTTTATTTAAAAATATATATTAATATATTTATAAAAGATTACATAAATGTGTAAAATAAAAATTAAAAAAAACTAATTTTTTTTTTTATTTTTTAAAAAAGCTAGGATACGAGAATTATCCATACCCATTAAATATCTAAAAAGATGTGAATGAAAATAAATTTGAAATACATATTGGATATGGGAAGGAAATTAATATAATATAAAAATCTGAAAGATATGGAATACTTTACTTGCCACATACTATATCTATTTACATCTCTACAAATTAGTAAGGAAACCTTCAAACCTTTAAGTTTTTAGGTTCAAGTTCGAGTTATCTCGAAAATTACATTACACATTGATTGGTTATTAATTTGGTTTTTTAATTAGTTTCTCCTCTTGATATATATTAAAAATTATTTAATTTTGATTATTATTATTTGCAATACATATAATTTCATTAAAAAAATGTTTATCTTTATATCTAAACACATAATTTGTTTTATTTTAGAAGAAAAAAATAAATAATAAAAACACATAATTTGTCTTCTTTTAGAAGAAAAAGATAAAATAATAATACTAAGAATGAAATGAAACCCAACTTAACTTATAAATTTCATGGATGATCAAATCATATACCTAAAATAATATCTCAGTTTTAATAAAGTAACGAGATAATATATTTTATAGTTTTAAAAGCTTAAAACTTTCATATTTAATATAGATTTTTTTTCAATAATATAATATATATTAGATCATGTTTACATAGTGAAAGTAAAAATATGACCCTCTAAAAGTTTTTCTGGCTACGCCCCTAAATATGAGCATACCAATGTCAAGTTGTTGGGGAAGCTATATGGTATCTAAATCTTAATGGAGTGATATATAAGTGACCCACCAGGCACTAGTATGCAAACATAGAATTAAGATCTCCTTATTTGTGTCTTAAGCAAAATTTATTATGCTGCTCAAATGAAAGATTTGCAAACAATCTTTCCTTATGAACTTAGCTGGTACAAACATTTTTTTAGCTAGAGGGAAAGATAAGGAGGTCATTCATTGAGCCATTCACTCTTAAGGTTAATTTTCTAGGTGTAGGTCGATCACTAATTGAATCTTTGGACCACTAGATCCAAGCAGAGGCGTATCTAGATGTAAAGTTAGGACATCCAATAAATTAAAAAAACAAAAGAATTTGAAAGAAAATTCTTTCATGAATATTCTTAAAAAATTTCCTTAAACACCATATCATCGATAAAATTAATAAATTTATCAATAATTTTTTTATATATTATAATTGAATATCTCTTAAAAAAATTCTAGATCCGCCATTGGGTTGAAGGGGTTCAATATAAAGTCAATATTGAATCACCAAATGGATCTCCACATTTTGGTTGAATAATTGCACACAATGTTAGGTTGGGTTTATATATATCAGCTAGGGATTATTTTAACTCTAATTCTTAATTAGGAATTAGGATTTAGCTAGCTAGGGAGAGGTTTCAATTAGATAAATTATAATGAAAATCCCATAATGCATAATTAATTATTGTCCTTTAACACAATCTACGTCTAATTGTCTATTATTTAGAAGTTTCCCATATAAATGTCAAATAATGTAATAGCGACTGAATCTATTATAGGCAATAATAAAGGTATCAAAATCTCTTATTTATTTATATCTATATTAATATTATAAAATTCTTAACTTTAACTCAATTGAAGAATTCAAGTAAAAACCAAATATTTTAATAATTACAAAAGGAAAATTAAAGATATATATATTTTTTATTATAATTTTTTATACAAACACATTCATTAAAAAATCCATTTCTTTTAAAAAAACTACTTTTTAAATTATTTTTTTACTTAAAATTTGATTGGCTTATGTAAAATCGATTTATAATTGTTCTTATGTAAGTTTAATAAAATAAAATCTAAAAAATCGAGTGTTTTTAGAAGATTCTTTTCAACTTTTTTGTTAGAACATGAATTTAGTTTAACACTGACTCTAAGATGAACTTTCATTTAAGTATAAAAAGGCTCTTCAATAAAAATTAAATAATTATCCAAATCTCTATTATTTTATTATAATCAATTAAATTTTTAAATATTTATTTTCATCCAATTAAACTATTTAATATTTATTTTAACCAAATTGAATTCTTAAACATATATTTTCATCTAATTGAATCCATATATATTTATTTTTATCCTAATTGAGCCATCGATTGGATGAAAATGGGCATTGATGAATGACGACTAACCAATTTTCATCGAATGAAAAGTTTAATTGATGAAAATAAATGTTTAAAATTTTAATTAATTATAATAAAATGATAAGGGTTTGAATAATTATTTAATTTTAGTTTAGAAATTCTTTTATATTTATGTCATCAATTTTAGAGTTTGAATCAAACCTAAAATAAAAAAGATGAATGTAAAATTTATCATTATATTATGATTTAATATTAAATTTTGTCATAATATTTTCAATTTTATTTATTTTTAGACAAAATATGTCTGGACTAGAATATTTCACCAAATACTCAATTAATGCAAATAACAATTTTTATCAAATTTTTTATTTTCATCCAAAAATTAATAAAATTAAAATATAGTAACAAAATTTAATAAAATTGAAGCACACAGATAAAATTCAATATTTATTAAATCAAAGAAATTCCATTGATCCAACATCTCTCAGGGGATCGATAAATAAAAAACCTAAACCAAACATGTCAAATTTGGCCTTCAGACCAGACAATAAATTTTGAATGCAACTCACAAACTAAATAACTAATGAAGTAATAATTAAATGATAAAATTAAGGGAGTGCATACTTAAACCCTCAATGTGACTTTAGAGTGTTAAGATGCTCTAATTAATTAGCAAAGAGTTTAAGATTGTTATTCGATTATATAATGATACTTTATTAATGTGTAAAACAAAAAATAATAACGAATGAGATTATTATACAACTTATTAATATTTATTTTTAAAGATTTGATTATTTTTTATGATGCAACTTAAAAAGTTGAGGCCCAGTGAAAAATGATAAAGCTAATTAGCTTAACTAGAGAAGACATCAACAAGTTTAATTGCCACTTTAAACCTTACACTTTTGAGTCTTTTCATATCTCAAAACAAACCCCTGTTTCCCTTTCTTTCCTAGTTTATCTCACATCCCTAAAACATTCCAAAGCAGTAACATGTCGCCCCCTTCGTCCGCTACAGAAAGGCAGGAGGGTTAGGAGATAGGTGACTCCCACACCAGTCATTCCCTCAATCATAACACCTCCCTCCCCCACCCCCCAACCCCTTTCTCCCTTTCCTTTCCTTTCCTTTCTCTCATAAATCCAATACCCACATTTTACAAAAGAAAAAAAAATACCAATAATAATAATAAAAAAAAAACCCCACTTCCCTTCCCACTCTCTCCTCCACCCCACTTTACTTCTCTCTTTATCTCTCTCCCGACCAGACTAGTCCAATCAAATTTTTGTACACTTCTCAAATCTGTCTCTTTTTAAATTAATTCGCATAAAATTGAAAAAAAAAAAAAAAACGAAATAATTTTCTTGTAAATTGTCGTCCTAGCTAGATCTCTTTGTTAGTATTATTACTACTGCTTCTCTTCATCAATTCTTCTACCTTGAGCCACACTATTTGTATTTCCTTTCCTTTCCTTTGTTCTAGGCAAATATATAGTTACAAAACTATTTAAAAGAGAGAGAAAAAAAGTTGGAAAAAAAAAATGTCACTGGACTTGGCATCTGAACGTGTTTGTTATGTTCACTGCAACTTCTGCAACACCATTTTAGCGGTACAGCACTGAATTCCATTATTTTTTTTCTCTATTTATGTAGCTTCTTCTTTCTTTCTTTTTTCATGTCCTTTGAAAAAAAGAGCTGAATTAGCCATGACTGGCTTGTTTTCAGTGCTACCCTTTTGTTAGCTGAAATCCTTTGGTTCTTTTTTTTGAAGAACAAAGCCGGAATTCACCTGAGAAGAGTTAGCACATATGGTCTTCTAACCCAACTTACAAAATATCCTTTTTCTGGAAAAAAAATTTTACTTTACCTATCATGGTTCATGGATCATGAGATTTGCTTCATTTAAGCTAAAAGTTCTGTTTCTTATGTCATATTTTATGAGAAATTTTAGCCTGTTTTTGTCTCAAAGTCTCCAAGATGACCCAGAATTCCCATCTAAAACAAGCACAAGTATTTTATATGTATTTGGAGGACAGGACACTGTGAAAACATTTTGGAAAGCCAAGGGGATTTCATAACTGGGAATTTGATGATTTGGAAACCCTTCAAAAGATTGATCTCTCACAAACGATCAAATGAAGCTTGGCCAAGTGACTTTCAACAGTTCAAAAGAGAAGCAAATACCCCAAAGGCTTCTTCTGATGATAAAGCCTTTCAAGATAGCTATGACTAGGGCAACAAGTAGGCATTATTTAGGGTTCTTCCAGGTCATGGTGCAAGTAAAAAATGAAGGAGCTTTCTCCTTTCATACCTTTCAAGGTCATATTCATGGTTATTTCATGTCTGATGATAAAGCCTACCCCTTGCTTTAGTTTTCCACTTAGGAATCCTCATAGTTACCAGTAACTTGGTCTTCTTCATTTTATCAGCTACATTTGTCTACTACAGCTGCTGCATCTGATGAAAATAGAAATCATTTTTTTAAGGTCTTTTCTGTTCAGGAGGTGGAGGTAGAGGTGGAGGTAGGTGCTTCTCCAAGCCAGTACTGAAAGAGGGCATATCATCTTTTTTTGTGATCAACATAAATTTGATACAATATCAAGTTCTTTTATTTTTATTGTTATTATTATTATGATTTGTTGCATTGTTTCAGTTTTGTTTGGCCTTTAAGTACAAACAAGAGTGTTTCTCTTTCTTTGTACAAAGAAATTATGGAGAGAGAGCTGGCAAAGAGAAATCATGGCTATAGCAAGCCATAAACCCAAGTGCTTTTCCTCTCTTTTTTCAGTCTCCTTTCATCATAACATGCCTCTGTTAAGCAACCCCTTTTGAAACCAATCTCTCTCTATATATCTTCTCTCCTACCCTAACCTATCTCTTCCATTTTTTTTTCTTTTCCTCTCCTCTCCCAAACAAACAAAGCCACATTTAAAATACAAGATCCTAGACACTGTACAAAGATCAGGAAATCAATCACCATTCATGATTTTATCTTTTCTTTGTTCAACGACCATTGATAGCTGTGGTTATTGGTCATGGCCTTTACGGTTTCCGTTCCAGTCACGTCCTTTTCATCTCTCTCTTTGTCTCTCACTCTGGGTCTGGCCTTTTTTTTTCTATCTTTTTTTTTTGTCAGGCAGAAAAGTCAGGCGCACCGAAAGGAGAACAAGGGTTGGGAGAGACGAAGAGACAAGTCCTTTGTAGTTATAGTTATTGCTCATGTGAGCTGTACGGGTTAACCGAGGTCACAAGTCTTAACATAACTTGGCACCTGCTCGTTTCTATCTCTTCCTTGATTCTCCTCTTCGCCATATAAAAAGGACCCTCAAAGAAAATTGAAAGCGATATATACATAGTTTTGCAGCTTATTCTTCTCCTTCTCCTTCTTCTTTGAAAATTGTTTTTGGTACTGGCAAGTGTGTTGGATATTCTGAATATGGCAGATCTGGGGACTATAAAAGGAAAATGTCAGGATCTCAAAGGATATTAGGCTTGGGACTTTAATTTCCTCTTACTGTTTGATATTGTATGAAGCAAACCATTCTTCAATTTTTTTTCTGATTATCAAATCTCAGCAGCTTCAACTCTTTCTATGACCAGTAGAGAAAGATGGTGGCTGCACATAAAAATTAATCTCAAAATCTTGAGAATTTTGGTAACATTTGCAGGTTAGTGTTCCATACAACAGTTTGTTCAACATTGTGACTGTTAGATGTGGGCATTGCGCGAATCTGCTGTCTGTAAATATGGGAACTTCATTTCAAACATTTCCCATTCAAGATGCTCAGGTATGTTTTCGGGTTCACTTTGGCTCCCCTTTTTTCTGGGACATTCTTATGACTTCTTGAATATTAAATTCAATACTACAATAATATATATATATATATATAGTTTAGTAAAAAATGGCAAGTAATTAAGACAAGGAATACCTTTTTTTCAGTGACCAAAGATTCCAAAGAATATATACTATATTATTTTATGGGTTCCTAAGCCTTTTAGCTGATGATAAGACACTCTGGTGTTTTCAAAATACAATATGAAACAATTATTGTTGTTTCAGTTGATTTGACCTCTTTCCTCCTCCTATTTCTCCAACTTTTTGTTTCTTTTATAGGGCCTTTTTGCTAAATATATGCACCTTGGTCTTGGGATGGATGTGCTATTTAAATCAAGGACAAAGTTTAGATTCAATGCTCTTCTACTTTAAAAAAAAAAATGCTATTAAAAGCTTTGTGGGGAAAAGAAAAGGATTGTTTGGATGATTTACTTGTTTGTTTTGTTTTGAGAGGAGTTGCAGAAACAGCAGATAAACACTGATCAGGATCATTCAAATAAGGAATGTGGGTCGTCTTCCAAATGCAACAAGTTTCCTGCATTTGATTGTGCAGAGTATGAAGCACCTAGAATGCCTCCTATTCCCCGTTAGTCTCTCCCTCTCCCTCTCCTTCTCTCTCAGAGAAATATATATATATATATATATTACGTACAAATGCATTATATAAGCTATGTACCCTTCAGTAAATATTATACATGTATAGCTGATACCAAAGGGTTAAATGCAGAACCAACTACCTAGGCATTTTTATGATGGATATGGAAAAATCTGAATAAAAAAGTGTCTCCCTTACAGCTGGCAAAAGTAAATAATCAAGTAGAATTGATCACCGCATTGTCAATAGTACCACTTAAGAGCCTTCGCTTTTCAGAAACACCTTAAGCAACTCATCTGATCTCTCCTCTCCAGTCAAGGCACCTCCAAGACGGTGACCTTACACAACAAGTTTAACTCATTAATTATTAACAGTTCCCTATACCATCCTAAACCATAAGAAAGTTGCCCCTAGAGGATATGTTAAATGATCATATTGCAGTTTGATATTTACTATTTTCTTTATCAGAAAGAATTCAAAGTAATATTATTTGCCATTTTGGTTGCTTGCATGAAAATGGACCACTATTGAGCACCCAGGCTGCAAGCCTATACTTGCTTATGCTGATTGCCTATGAAGATAGAAAGTTTTCTAACCATTTTGGATTGAGAAACAGTCTCTAGAGTTTGAAGAACAGGAAACTGCTACACCTTTTCAATTGTATGGTTTAGCATCTATTTGCACATGTCTATGATTACACAAAAATATGATTATATTTAGATCAGAAAGTTTTAACCCTAAGAACAGTGGGACCACTGTTTATATTGAAATCTGGAATGTTACAGCCTTACTTGTTTGGATTTTATGGGTGATTTACGTGACCAGTCCCGGCCGGTATCACCTAGAGATTCAAATCAAGCTGCTATTATTTTTAGTGCCAATACATATTCTGAACAGAATAAAAAAGCATTGCAGAGAGATATTAAGCCTTGATCAATAGACTGATGAGAATAGATGATCTAAATCTAGTGTTTTGTTTAATTAAGCTTGCTTATTAATGAACTATATGATCAATAATGCAGCCCCTGAGAAGAGACAACGTGTTCCTTCTGCATATAATAGGTTCATTAAGTAAGTTTAACCAAAATTTCATGGCTACTTGATTATTTAAGGATTATAACCCCTCTCTCTTTCTCTCTCACTTTCCATTTCTGGGCTCTTACTATTTTTAGGGAGGAAATTCAAAGGATCAAGGCTAGTAATCCAGATATCAGTCACAGGGAAGCTTTCAGCACAGCAGCAAAAAATGTAAGTTTTTTTCGGTTCTGCAAATGTATAGATAGAATATACTCACTGCTTATCTAATTCAATTAACCATAACTCCATTATAAGAAATTAACCATTATTCCATTTAATATGGGTAGGCCATAAATCCCTCCCCCCCTCCCCATTCAATTTAGTTCTTTTTTTTTTTTGTTTTGAAAGTTGAAGAGATTTTATTAAGACAAAAGCATACATGCACTTACAACCAGACTAATAAGTCAGAGTTTCGAAAGACACCCGACTTAGGTAGAGAGAGGTAGTAGTAAAATATTGACAAACAGTAGTATTCTAACACATATAGGAAAAATGGGAAATATGGTCAGAGAGTGATTTCAATACATTAGACTACCTATCATTAACTGTATCACTTGATCTCTTTTAGGTGAGAGAAACCCATGGGCTGCAGTAAAACATTTTTGCCAAAATGATCATAAGTTTGTGTCAGAACTCTTTTGCACGATTTGATATTTCATGGTAGAAAAGGCTGTCAAACTCTTAAAATTTCAATATTTTAAAGATATGATTGGGTCTAGTAATTGGAAGATAAAGCCTCCAATCATGAATATTTTCAAATGGATGAATGATTTCCCTAAAGAACTCAATATTACTGTCCATTATATGCATACTCCGCCAAGGGTAAAACACTAAAGCGTGGATGGTGCATATTCATTTTTTGAGGAAAAAAGTCTCAATAAATGGTTGGTAATTAATGTTAATAGTGCATTACAGATATTTTCATATTTTGCCAGATAAAGAATCTTAACAGGAAATTTTTAACCCAGGGTTTCAGGATTTGGTTTCTATTCATGACATAAACTCTTTTTCTATCAATAAAATCCATATTTGCTTTTCAAAAAATAAATAAATAAACTATTTCTAAGGTGATAGCTCTTGAAATTGTTGGTAAGTACAGTACCCATCTGCAAGAGTTGTTCATGAATGATATATAGCTAACTTACCAAACCTATGAAAGGGAGAACTGAATGATTAAAACAAACCTTTGACAATTAGCTCATGAATGCTTCTAGACTGTAGAGTCGTTGGCCCTTGGTCGTTTATCACAGTCAGATGACTGAAAAGGAAAAGCTTCTTATTCAACACCACAGGTTTAAGAATGCACATAATTATTGAATTTAATCTCAGAAGTATGATGAGACCTTTATATATGGAGATTATACTGTTTTAGAGAAACGTTATGTGGTGTGCTTCCTTCTTTCCTTCCTTGTGCTTTTAAGGAAATGAATTGTCAAGATCATTAATAACCTGCATGCCTCCATCAAATTACCTCCCTAATTCCATTCAGTCTCACCTGCTTCAAGTGTGTGAGTTAGAAATCATTAACTGGGTTAGAAGGTCTAAGAGTGTTTTCGTTCACATTTTACCTTTATATTAAATACTATTAACTGTATATATATGCTTTTTTCAATTTTTTGGATGTATTAAAACCCAATTCTTTGAACAAAAGAAACATGGGCTTGTCTATCAAGAGCTAAAATTATAATGCACTCAAGGTGCTGTGTTCTATGCCTTATTGAAGATTCGTACTTAAATTTTCCTAATTGATCAATGATTCTCTCCATTACTCCTAAATTGATATTTAGGGTGTTTATCATAGCTACATATCCATTTTTCATATCCTTCAAATGTTTTTGTTTTCTCTTGGGAACAATGTCTTTCAGAAATTCATATGCTCATGATACTTTTTTTTCCTCTAGCCAAAAGAGAAAAATCATAGGAATGTAGAGGCTATTGCTTGCTTCCTGTTTAATTATGTACAACACTGTATCGCCAATAAGACGGCACGCATATTTATTACTACGATGCTGTTACACTTGGCACCAAAAAAGAAAAAGAAAAAACAAGTGAGGATTTTGTCTATGCCTTAAAAACGTATCTTCAACTTCTTTCCTTTTTCAATATTGGCATATAGTTAAGACCACGAGGCTAATTTAATCAACCAACTTATGGATATCCTTGTACTAATCCTTTCCCAAGTCATTATATATAATGTAATTAACAACATTAATATTGTTTTTTGCAGTGGGCACATTTTCCTCACATTCACTTTGGGCTAAAGCTAGATGGAAACAAGCAAGCAAAACTGGACCAGGCATTTGCAGATCAGGGTGCTCAAAAGTCTAATGGGTACTACTGAAACACATCGGCAAACTGTGAGTAGAAGCCAGTCATCATCATCATCATCATATATCTATATATATTATTATATGTTTAATTACTAAAGGAATTGAGGTTTTGATGAAGTCTCCTAAACTAGATTGCTAGGAAGGCCCTCCTGAAAAACCTTTCCAGCTTCCTATTATGTGTGTTGCCGTTTTCACCTCTTCTCCATCAGAATTAATTTCTTTCTATTCTAGTGATTGCTTTTATGTTGAATTCAGATCTTATTTTCAAGTAAACAAATATTCCCAGGGAATAATGTGTTGCAATTTCTTTTGGTAACAACCATGGCAGATTCTTTAATTAATCTCTCTCTTTGCTCTTGTTTTCTCTCGTTATCTCTCTCTTTCTCTTTCTCAATTCTTCAGAGTGGGCAGCCACCTCTGTCCACTGAATCTAGCTTGCTAGAGAGGACCACTTAACCAATATGTGACATTTCATTGACTTACTGCTCTGCACAAAGGACCATGAGCTCATCCCATTTGAAGCTGTGGTTTTATTATAATGCCTGCTTTAGGCTTCTGTTTGAGCCTAACTCACTAGTCATTAGCATCTTGGAGAGAAAGAGAGATGAGAAAATTCATAAGAAATAAAGATGTTAGGTTTAGCCAATAGCAATAGTAATAGCATGGACAGATGACAGAACGATACAGTTCTTTCGCATGTGTTCACCTGTCATGTTCAGTGCTCAAATCAAATCGTTAAAAATTTGATCAGATGACCAAAAATAATTGTATTTTATAGTACTTGTTGTTGTTGTTGTTTTACTTTTCACCGAATTTGATGGCACAAAAGTCATGCAGAAAGATTTACAATACACGACAGACAAACACACACCACCTTGGGATACACAAACAAACTTTTATAATGCTTTTTGGATTGGCCAACCAAACCATTCAAATATTCTTCCAAGGACTACTGACTACATACTCTTCCTTCGATTGCATCTTAAATTTTCCTTTTTCTTTCCCTGAACAACCTCAGTAGCCTTTAAATGAAAACCCTACATTTTTACTTGATTTTGTCACGCTTTTTCTTCTGAGGTTAAGCTTCAAATTGGGTACAAAACTTTCATTTTTTAATGTATGAGAAATATTTTTACATATATAATAGCAATTATTACATACACCAACACTCTTTGACTTTATTATTTTGTCTGTCATTTTTATCAATTATGAATAATTATTTCGATTTGTAGTCTTATATATTGATAATCATTTGTTGCCATTAATCTTAAATGCGAGATCCTTTTAGGGTACTTATAATTTATCTTTTCTATATATATATATATATATATATATATAAAAGAAGGTCAAAATGTAAAAGAAATTTACTAGTGTTGTAGATAAAACTCCTAACTTTGCAAGAATTTCTTTTTTAAATCAGATGGATGAACCATTTAGATTAAGTTCCTCAAGTTCATATTTTGTTTTTACATGGAGAGGAATTTATTTTTAGATTAATGGTTGTCTCTTATTTATTTTTTGGGTTAAACTAATTAAACTTTGATCATTATTTTTGATAAAATTATAAAACTAAAAAAAATTTAAAATAAGATTTGCAAATTTTGAGTTTCAAAATTCTAAAAACATATATTTTTTAAAATTTTAATTAAATATAATATTGTAAAAAAAGAAATGTCAAAATTAAATTCGTTACACTAAAAAAAAATCAAACAAGGACAAATAAAATGAAATAGTGATAGTAATAAAGAACTATTGACCAAATACACTCGTATCTGTTTAAATTTTATGACAAGCAAACTCTTCAAAACAAGCTCCAAATTAGTCTACAGCTTGTGTCACACTAGCCCTTTTGCAAGGGCATAAAAAAACCCTAGATGTCTTGTCACCAAGGCTATTAGTGAGGGACACTGGCCGTTATGAATGGTGCAGATTACTTGAAACGTCAGTCACTAAAACAATCAAAGTTAATTATAATCTTTTCACTTTCATAGTCCCTACTTCAATCGTCGTCTTTCTCTATCTCTATCTGTCTCTCCATCTCAAGTTTCTCAGGCAAAATTTTTTGCACTGTTCCTATTTTATTTTATAGCCCAAATCAAGCAGTAAAAACCTTAGATATAGGCTTCTGTCACGCTGAAGTCATGAAAACCCTAGCATCAACAAGCTGTGATATAGTAAAAGAAGCATGACCATTGTACATTGTTGATTCCCTTGAAGAAAAAATAATCTAAAAAGAAGGTTGAAAAGTGGGGGTCCCTTTGCCTGGTGCGATCCCCACTAGAGCACAGTGACTTGATGCCCATCTCCATCCCTCAAATGGCCAAATCGAGCCATGACAAAGTGGGGCTGTGACTTCACCACCAAACGTGCATGGCATTGGCATGTGTTGATATATATAATAGCATAGCATCACTTCTCTACACTACAATTGTACTAATGGAATTTGTAGTTTGCCAAAAGCAAAAGAAAAAGGCCCAGAGAAAAGATCAAGATTAAGAAGCGGTAAGGTGATGGTGTGTAAATGAAACTGGGGTTCGTTTGTCTGTTGGGATAGGAGCTAATAGTACAGAATCTGTAATGTCAAATCATGTAGTTGGTATCTTGGAAGTGTATATTATTTATTTTTTGATAAACTAGTATTTTAATACTATAGTATATAAAAGAAAATGTGTGGGTATTGGGCTGTCGATGTCATGTCACATACAATGAGTGCTAAGCTTACTGTTTCTATCTCTCTCTTGGGATTGGATGGATTAGAAACAGGAAACGGAGGGAATGGAAAGGGCTGCTGCTGCTGCTGCTGCCGCCTTCTGTGCAAGCAGGCAGGAGCAGCAGCAAAAAGCGAGAGGTGAGTGAGTCAGTTGTGACATAACCTTTTTTTTCTCGTTGCCAACATCAATACTGGGAAGATACTTTTGAGATTTCCCACTTTCATGTCTTGTCTGGAATTCTGATATGATATGATAAATAAACCCCTTTTCTTTTAATTTACCCCACACCTCAACTCTCTTCTGCTCTTCTTTATTTCCTCACATTATTTTAGCACCATCATCACTTCACCATGTATCTCATTCCCTCTCTCTCTCTCTCTCTCTCTCTCTCTCTCTCTCATTCTTTTCTTGTTCAAAATCTCAATAATTAGCTATTCATCTTTGCAATTTGAAACTAAATTTTTAATAATTAAAAAAGGCTAAAGGCTAAATGCGTAATATATCTTTTCAACCTGAACTTGTCTATATTTGCTCTCTGAATACCACCCCAATCAGAAAATTTTCATAGGATTGCTTTCAAAAATAATAATTTAGCTGGTTTTGAAAACTTGGAGTTGAAATTCCCAAGAACGAAGAGGTAAGAGAGATTTTGTAAAAATTTCATTCAAAAATGAAAAAAAAAAGTGTAAAATATATTTGATAGTTGTGTAGAAGTGGAGCTTTCAGTTGGTAGTGTTGAGTTGTATCTTATCTGTTTTTGAGGTTTTCACTTATCTGGTGTTGACGGTTTTGAAACCTCTTATCTTTGGACCACTTGGAAGCTCAATGTGTTGCACCTGTTTGACAGATATTCATGTCCATTTGAACACATCATATTGACTAATTAATATTCTTAAATACAAGAATATCTTAAATACAAGTATGTTGTATATAAGTTCTTGAATTAAGGCTCTCCCTTTATAATGCTTAATTTTGCTTTAACAAGACACTATTTTTTTTAAGAATTTATATTTGATACACTGTTAGTGTATAAATTTTTTATATTATTAATAAATCAGATGATGCCATATTATCAATGAATAAATATTAACTTTCAAAATAAATTTTTAAAATAAATATACAAAAATTTATTTATTAATGAGGTGACATCATTTGATTCACTAACAATATATCAAATATAAATAATTTTTTAAATAATATATATATTTGCTATCTGATTTTCTTTGAAAAGCTTTTGCATTTGATATGAAAAGTAAAATGGTAAAATACACTTACCCCATTTAATTTGAAAAATGCCCTCTTACCTCTCTTAGGCTTGGTGAAAAATACACTAACCCTCTTATTGTTTATTAAGTTTTAAAAAAAAGTACCCGTTCTTAATTATTAATTATTAATTTCTTTATTTTTTTTTATTTTCATTCTTTCTTTCACCCATTATTTTTTTAAACTAAAAAAAAAGAGAATTTAATTAGTTTTAAAATTAACTTTAATTACTATCAAATTAAATTCTAATTAAATTATATTATAATTCAAGTACATGCTAAAAATTTTAAATTTACATTAATTCAATGTATTATTATTAAAAATAAATTAATTACCATTATTTAAAAAAAGTATAGTGATAAATAAATTGATTAAAACAAAAAAAAAATAAAATGATAAAAAAAAAGGGAAACAATGAACAAAACTAGGGTTTTTTTTAATATTTAAAGTAAAATTTGAACAAATATTAGTTTGATTAATGAAATCCTAATTAACATTAGTTACCATGTGTGCATGAAAGAGATGTTACAATAGTCTAGTCTTTGTAATGCTTTCTTCAATTACATATCAATAGAAATTGTTTTTCCCATTCAAGAAAAATAAAATTAAATTCGTATGGTGGCTGTTTGTTCATCTTATTATTGCGAAAGCGATGCCAAAACTCAAAACCAAATTTCACCAACTTAATTAAATGATGACTCATCACATTTGTTTTTATCTAATTCTCCCACATGACAATGTTACAAAATTGGACCACTCCATTGTTAGCTGCTATTTCTGTAGCATAAACTTGTCTGGACATTAAGACAAATAAATATATGAATTAATTGGCTTACGAAAATTCATGACATATAGGTCGAGAAATTGATTTAAGAAACGGTTTTTTCACTTCAATATATTCATGACTTATAAGTCAAGAACCAATTTTATAAATGATAATTTTACTTCAATATATGTGTTTTTTATTTAAATCATATTACACGCATAAATTTTTTCGAACTCACAATCTCCAAATGCGAATTGATTTAAAGAACAATCGACTTCTTATATTTTTAAAAAAGAAAAAAATGAAATAAAAATGATCGTGGTCCTAGATATAGTCCCGAGTCAGTGTCCTCCAAAATAATAATGCTGGATGTACAAACTCACTTGTATAAATTCTCTACCGTATAAGCTGTCCTCTCGTTCGGACAATTTACTTTCACTTCTTTTGACCACCTTGCTTCTTACGTTAAACCCCTTCAATTTATGTGTAAAAGCGATAATGAAAGCTTAATTTTTCTTTATACGTGAGATTGTGGAAATTCAACTTTTGTTTTTACAATTAAGAATTCAGTGTCCTATCA